AGCAATACATAAAGTTTTCTTACTGACTGCTCAGTGTATGTATTAGTAAAAACTGAGCAGTAGACTCATTTTTGCTTTCTTTGGGGATTTCTTTCAATGCACAATAGTAGGAAGATGATACTGAAATATAATGAAATTTCTGCTGAAGAGAAAGCAGAAGAGAGAGTGTGTGCGTCTGTCTGTTTTGCTCTGTTGCAATATTGTGAATAATTCATAGAGAACTGTTTATATGTTTGATTTCCTCTTATTTTCCCCTGGCAGGTGAATAATCTCAGATGTGTTTATTATTCAAAACTACTGACTGAAAGAGTGCAAGACCTAGAAAGAGTGCAAGAGAATTTCCACTTTATGTGTAGTCATTTTCAAAAGCAGAGCTCTCTTTGCTGACTCCAAAACTCATGGTTCCAGCAGAGCTTCAAGAAGTGACTTTTTGAAACCACAATTCTCAGGTTTCCACAGCTACCATGGTCAATCCTTAGCCTGGCTAGCAGCTGTAGGGGACAAAAGTGGAGGGGGGGATTTGGTGTAAACATTTTGCTGCATTGGCAACATATTGACTAGGTTAGTGGTTCTCAAACTGTGGTCCCCAGATGTTCTTGAGCCATTACCACTTGCTGTGCTGGCCAGGATTTCTGGAAGTTGCAGTCCAAGAACATCTGGAGACCCCAGATTGAGAACTGGACTAGATGAACCTTTGCAATCTCTTCCAATTCTATGAAACATGATGGCTAGTGCTGTACAATGGAGTCGCCACAGAACCTCAAAATCCCCTTTGCCACCTTCTTTTCACACATTCCTCTGCTATACAAGGTTGCATTCTTCAGCACGAGGGCCTGTTCCCACAGCACAGAATCCCTGGAATTACAATTGGAAAGGGATACCTGGAAGTGATCCTCGAGCCAGGATGTACTTAAGCCACCAGTCCTGCCATTGTTTAGGTTTTAGATTCTAGGTTTTATGTCAGTTTTTATTGGATGAAATTTTGGCTTCCTTTCCTTTTGTTTTATTACTTACCGATGATTTGCTGTCATATTTTTTGGATTTCTCTCATGGTTATAAACCATCCAGAGTAGTGCTTGTCACAAATCAGGCAATATGAAAGTATATGGAATGAATGAATGAATGAATGAATGAATGAATGAATGAATGAATGAATGAATGATAGCTGCAGAGAAAAGGCAAAAGGGAGAAGAAACAAGGCCAAGTCGAGTACGCTATAGGAGGATTTTGTCCTAAAGTAAAAGACTCTCCTGACAAGGAAGAAGGATTGGGTAAGCCATACTACTCTTTTCCTTCCAGCAATGTCATTCTACAGGTCACAGTCATTTGTCTCCTATTAAGACTGCAAAATGTTGACAACTCTCCCCAAATCAAACAAAGGAGGTTAAGAATACCCAAGATTTCTGTAGTCTTGTGCAATCCAGACATTTTGACCAATGACTCCTTTCCCTCATTCCCAGCCATTATGAGCAGTTTTTAGGAATGAAGAGATCTGTAGGCCAGACAGCTAATGGTGACCCAGAGAGAGAAGAGTGAGACGAGTAATTGTGCAGCTGAACTGAAAATATATGTGCAGTTGTTAATGCCATAATTATTTAAAGATATTTTTCCCAGCTGGGAAAAGGAAATGGCAGAAACATCCATCACTGAGTTCACACGTAGTACATTTGTCCATATGGATATACCTGAGGAGGCTCTGAATTGCATGTGGGACATAAATACTCTCCCTCTCGCTCTCGCTCTCCAGGAAATAATGTATTCTGTTCAGAAATACATTAAGTTGTATTGTCATTGTAGCAGTGATTTTCATCTGAGAATTTGTGTCATACCTGAAATTCTCACCTCCACTCATCTGGGTTTTCCTTTTTTGCCCAACAACACTCGGACACACACACACACACACACATATATATATGGAACATTTCAATGTCTACCCTTAAAAATATTGGATTCAATTCTGGGAGAAAGGTGCTTTGTAAATCGAATAAATTTAAAAATTAAATATTTATGTTGCCCTTCAGCCCTAAAGCATTTTTGTTTGAGACAAGGTTCACATTTGCCTTAATGTTTCTTGATGGCAAAGTGGTAGCCCCAGGTGGAAAAAGTGTGTGTGTGTGTGTGTGCGTGCCAGATGGGTGGTATAAAAATTCAACAAGCAAGGAGGGAAGGAAGCAAACAGAGTTTTTGGAAGTGAGTGCAAGATCTGTCTTATCCGCATTAGATTTCCAAAACTTTATAGTAACAAAGTGATGTGGCATGTTTGAAGTTGGGCCTGAGGAGATGCCCATCCACAACACCATCCACCACACTAGAATGATGGAATGGGGTGGGGGGGGAGAGAACATGTTCATGACCACTGGAATTTAACAGCTGAGAAGCACAAATGGAAAAAAAATGGTCAATTCTGTTTTTCCCCACAAAGAATATTTTAAACCTTGACTTCTTTCCATAGTGGCTGAAATCCAGTAGCATGTCACAACTAAAGTAGGCCCACTAAATCAATAAAACTTATGAAGGCGTTGACTCCCCACTGACTCAATGGGCCTACTCTACTTGCAACTAACCACTGAATTTTGGCCAATGACTTTGAAAGAATTGTGAATGTTGGCAAATTCCTAAACAAAAGGTACTGGGACAAAATTCTTTCCTGTTTGCATCAGTCATATACATACAAGTATAAAAAATGAGGACCCTCAAGGGAGAGAGAGAAAGTGTGAGAGAGAGGCGAGAACACTAATTCAGCACTAACATGGTTGAATACTCAGGTATTCAGACTCTGATCCAGACTTCTTTAAGTTCTGGGTGTATGCTTTTGTCAGCTTCTACCTCTCCCCAAAACACTGGCACTGCTTAAAAGACTTATCTAAAACTATGCTGTGCTTGAAAAAGGAGCAGTTTTCACTCCATCCTTTCCTGCTCCTTCTTTGGGCTTCCTTTCTTGTTGCAATTATTTTTGCTTCTTCTTTATCATTTGTGGCTGGTTCCTAAATGCATCTACTAAATAAACCAACCACTCGTCTCCTAACTGCTTTTTCTATATGGGTCAGTTGACTTTCTAAAAACCCTGTACATTTCAAATTAACACCGGGAGCCTGAAACCAGGAGCAATTTCTTTCCCTCCCAAAATATGAAGATTCTGTATACCATATATGAATTTTGTTAAATTATTCTCAGAGAGAAGGAAGGTGACAGATTTTATCTGTGTTTTTTATTTTATTTTATTTTATTTATTCGATTTTTACCCCACCCCTCTAGACATTGTCTACTCGATGTCTTATTGTGTTCTACATATATCTAGTTACTCTTACTCTCTATATGACCTCAGGGCTAGAATTAGCATAATTTAGTTTCTTTTCTTCCTGAATACAAAATTTGTTTCTCATCACTCCACACAGGCGTGTGAAGTGTGTGGCCACAGTCACATTACCTGAGAACTCTGGCATAAGTCCTGGCCCAATCACTCCACTTGTGTGGCAGCAATTAAACAAATCACGAAGCTGAGCTTTGAAGTAATAGAACTTGGAAATTTGGTTTTTTTATGAGAAACAATTCCGAGAATACCTGCACTAGCAGAACAAGCAGCTTAAACAAGTAACTTTTTCAAGTTTTGGGAAAATAACATGTTGTAAATAGTGACATGACCTGTAATGTGTTACTTTTTGTATAACAGGCAGTAACTCATTTTGCTCAATATATGTAAATAACACATTGCTTTCTCTCTATGTATCAGATGAAACCAAAACATTAAAACAATAACACCAACACTTGAAAAATAGACATAATATCCAAAAATCAAAATTGCAAAATACCATCACTATTAACCAAAACAACAGGAACATAAACATAAACACTTGAGAGTGGGGGGGGGTTTCTCTCTCACCTCAGCTTTTTTAATTATTATTATTTGTTTATTTGTTAGCTTCTTGCCATTTGGGGCCTTTTTGAAAGTATTGTTTAAAAAATAAACAACACATTATTAAAAGAAGTGGTGAACAGTACTCTATGTGTTTTTAAGGAAAGGCTAACTATAAGGGAACGTTAAGGGACGTGGTGGCGCTGTGGGCTAAACCGCAGAAGCCTGTGCTGCAAGGTCAGAAGACCAAGCAGTCGTAAGATTGAATCCACGTGACGGAGTGAGCACCCGTCGCTTTGTCCCAGCTCCTGCCAACCTAGCGGTTTGAAAGCATGCAAATGCAAGTAGATAAATAGGGACCACCTTGGCGGGAAGGTAACAGCGTTCCGTGTCTAAGTCGCACTGGCCATGTGACCATGGAAGATTTGTCTTTGGACAAAACGCTGGCTCTATGGCTTGGAAACGGGGATGAGTACCGCCCCCTAGAGTTGAACACAACTGGACAAAAATTGTCAAGGGCAACCTTTACCTTTACTTTAACTATAATGTTAGCTTTAAAAATAACACTCCAAGTTACATCCCACACTTACTTTGCTGTTTTGTCTGAATGTAGGTGAGCTTATGTCTCTGGTGTGTTTTTCTCGCTGGATTCCTTCTCTGTTTTGTCAGGAGGGAACCTGTCAGAATAAAGCTTGGGTATAATAAGCCCTTCATTAATATTGCAGAGCCTCCTGCACCATAAAGAGGTGGTACAATGATGCATTCTGCCTTAATGCTCCAGTTCTAACTATATTCCCTCAGAATTCAGTCCTATTGATTTTGGTGGTCTTCTCTTTCAAGAAGTATGTTAACACTTGGAGCTGGATTATAATTTTATGAGTCCATCATTTGTTGCCATTTTTTCTTGAAAACTTTGTTTCTTTCAATTAGCCACTAGGGTCTGGCAATCAAGGCAATGAGTGCCTAAGTTTCCCCTCCCCCCTGTCCCCTACTGGCACTATTTATGAAGATAAGCATTTCTACAAATACATTTTCTTGTGTATTTACTCCCCTCAAGTAAACTCAAATGGCTACGGAGGACAGCACTTTCCTTTTAGTAAGTTTGCCAATGGATCTGCATACGTTTCAAATTGTTTTTCTTCCACAGGTTTAATTTTCGAGGTTACCGCTGGGTCAAGGCCATGATTCATGCCATTAATGACATTAACAAAAGAGATGACATCCTACAGGACATAAAGCTTGGTTACCAGATCTATGACACGTGCTTTACAATGTCGAAGACAGTTGAGAATTCCTTGGCATTCCTCACTGGGCAGAACGAAACCACTCCCGTCTTCCGATGTAGTTCCGGAGCTCCTCTAGCTGCAGTCGTTGGAGCTGGTGGATCAACCCTCTCTATTGCCTCTTCAAGAATCCTTGGGCTTTACTACTTCCCTCAGGTATCAGAAATCCTGTAAAGTTTTAACAGGAACAAGTAAGCACAATATTCCAGAAATCTACGAGAGATCCATATTATGTCTCACCAGATCTCACTTCCCCATTTGCTTTTCTTTGCCTTCTATTCTAGTTCTATAGCTCCATCTCCTAAACAGCACATGGCTTGAAAAATATGGGTTGGGCTACTACTGAACAGGTGATATCAGTCAAAACAATGTGGTTTCCCTTTTTAAAAGTAGAGTAATGTAAAGGGGGACCCTATTCCAGCTGTTATCCTTCTCTATACTGCCAAGTTGAGAGACTACCAGAGTCTAATAATCAACTATCACCATTACTTCCTTGTCAGTGTCCAGTCTCTTGATCTGTAGAGCAAGGCAAGAGAGAGCAAAAGTAGACAACGATCTACTAATAAATCTCTGTATAGATTGACAAGTGTTTCTGAAATTCACCTGTTTATTGGCCACAACAAAAATGACCTTTCCCATCAAACAGCCTGTCAAGATGAAGAAAGGTTTTCATTACCAGCAGAATAGGCTTAGTAAGAAAGATGCCGACACTGAAAGCAAATTCCAAGGCTTTTCTCTATCTCTCAATCTCCTTTAAAAAAATAAATAAATCAGCATACCTGTTTTGTAAATGGCTCTGCTTGGTAGATCTTGGGACTGTAATACAAAACAAGGTAGGGGTGCCTGATCTCTGCCCCTTGCTCTTGTCGGATAGATCTATATTACAGACCGAATATTTTGTATCAAGTTCCGAACCCCAAGCCCCAAGTTCGAGCTCCTATTAAAAACAAGCTTTTCCCCCCAGAAAAAAAGGAGTGAGTGGGTTCAAATCATGAGTTGAGTCTGAGTCACTGGGGGAAAAAAAAAACCCAGACGAGTCCAAGTAGAGTCACTGTATCATGAGTTGAGTCTGAGTCACTGGGGGGAAAAAAAAAAGAAACCCAGACGAGTCCAAGTAGAGTCACTGGTGTGACTTACGTCTGACTTGACAGTGAGTCTCGTAGCTGAAATCCCTGCTGGTCAGTGAGTCTCAGCTGGTGGGAGATGTTGGGGCTAGTGTTGAGAAGGTATCAAGACCTTGGAAGAAAGAACCGAGTGTGCCATACAGTCTGACCCTCTACCATCTGCTGCCCTTGAGTGTAGCAGAGGACTTTATCCCACCACCACTTTGGCAGCAAGATTCAGTTGCCAGTTGGGTTCAGTTTCTGTAGATGGGATGAATAGAGGGAAAGAATCATAGGCCAGTCCTAGAAGATCCTAATCAAGGCAGTCTTCTGTCCATGTCATTAGCTGTCAACAGCACACAGACCCTTCTGCAGTGGTTGCTCAATTCTCTGCTATTTCTCTACCCTTATTCGCCTGCATTTCCATTTCCTTAGAGTCTACCCAGGGCTCCCTTGGCCTTAGAATCTAACATGTAATGGCTTAGGCCTTAAATCGCTCTGTTTCACTGCTCTTATTACTGCTGCCCTCAATTTCTAGTCCATACTAGACATTGTATCACAGAAAAAGAAAGGTGTGAAGCTGCCTTATACAAAGTCAGATTTGTTTTAGGCCAAGTACTATGACATGTAGTATTTGCCTGTCTGAGATCTGAGGCAAAATGTCTTGTCCAGCCTCTGCCACTTGATCCTTAGAAATGAAGAAGCCAGGTAGTCAATTTGGCTCCTTCTGGATATAAAGCAGATGTTCTTCTACTGGGAAAATTCATTTTCGGGCCACAGCTCACAGAACCCGCCCAATCAGCTTGGTCCAAAACAGGGATCATTTACAAGTTCTTGTCCCTTCCTTTGATCTCCCAAGAACATTGTCCCCATTCCCTTTCTCGTCCAATACAGAGGTACAGTAGTGTCAGAGAACAGGTGGCAATCAAAAGCACTTAGCCATCTTCCCCATTCCGAATCCTATAAATGTATTGGGTTACAATCTGTTTGAAATGCTAAGATTATGCTACAATGGATCCGGAGAGCACCACATATGGGGTAGCGATATTTGCCCCTATCCAACTCTTTATTTCTATTGTTCTTCCTTAGGTTGGTTACGCCTCCTCCTCATTACTTCTCTCCGATAAGTATCAGTTCCCAACCTATCTTCGCACCATCCCAAGTGATCAGGTACAATCTCAAGGCATGGCAGATTTGGTGCACCATTTTGGTTGGAGGTGGATAGGGACAATTGCAGCCGATGATGATTACGGGAAATATGGTGTCAAAGCTTTTAAAGAAAAGGTGGAGAATGCCTACACCTGCATTGCCTTCTCAGAAACAATCCCCAAAATATATTCCCGGACTAAGCTCCTGTCAGTTGTTGATATTGTCAGTAAAACCAATGCCACAGTCATTGTGGTCTACTCCTCTGATATAGACTTCCAGCCTTTAATGGATGAGTTAATCATCAGCAACATCACTGCTAAAACCTGGATAGCAAGTGAAGCATGGGTCACATCAGCGTTAATTGCTAGGCCTGAATATTTCCCAGTTCTAGGTGGAACTATTGGTTTTGCAGTAAAAAGGGGCGAAATACCAGGACTCAAAGAATTTCTCCAAGACATACACCCAAGTAAAGATCCAGATGACGACCTGGCCATTGAATTTTGGCAGACCGCATTCAACTGTACATGGCCCAACAGCAGTGTCTCGTACAATACAGACAACAGAAAAAATGTAACTGGCCATGAGAATATTACAGATTTTTCTTCAGACCAATTGTGCACCGGAGAGGAGAAGCTTGAAGACCTTAATAATACATACCTAGATGTTTCACAACTTAGAATAACATATAACGTCTATAAGGCTGTGTTTGCTGTTGCTTACGGTCTTGACCAGTTACGCCTCTGTCATGAGAAAGGACCATTTGAGCCAGATGGCACATGCGCCAGTATAGATGACTTTGAACCCTGGCAGGTAAGCATCGGTGTTTAGGAGGAGACACAAAACTTAGGCATTGTAAAAGGCTAGTGTGTTTTTTTTAATGTGAAAGGACAATGAAGTGTGACGTAAACTTCAAAGCCAGATGGAGAGATGGAATTCTGGGGCTGGAAAAATGGTTTCCCAAGCTTTCCACCCACCCAAGACGTAAAGGCTGCAAGTGCCAGTGAAGTTCTCAAGGGTTGTAGTTCCACAAACATGGGGTTCATCCTCAATCTGAGCAATCTGAATGGTGGGTCAGAAAGCATAGTCTCTGAGGCTCTTCTAAGGGTCATAACAATGTTCCTATAGATCAGTGTTCCCCAACCTTGGGCCTCCAGATGTTCTTGAACTACAACTCCCAGAAGTCTTCACCACCACCTCTGCTGGCCAGCATTTCTGGGAGTTGAAGTCCAAGAACATCTGGAGGCCCAAGGTTGGGGACCACTGCTATAGATGTTGGGGGTCCTTTATTTATTTATTTATTTATTTATTTATTTA